ACGGCCAATACATTTTCCCTGCCCCTCTGCCAGGGCAATGCCCTGGACCAGTTCTTCTGTGAAATCCCCCAGATCCTCAAGCTCTCCTGCCCACAAGCCTACCTCAGGGAATTTGAACTCCTTGTTTTTGGTGCTTTGCTATTTTTGGGAAGTTTTATTTTCATTGTGGTGTCCTATGTGGAGATCTTCAGGGCCGTGCTGAGGATGCCCTCAGAGCAGGGACGGCACAAAGCCTTTTCCACCTGCCTCCCTCACCTGGCTGTGGTCTCCCTCTTTATCAGCTCTGCCTTCTTTTCCTACCTGAAGACCCCCTCCATCTCTTTCCCATTGCTGGACCTAGTGCTATCAGTTCTGTACTCGGTGGTGCCTGCAGCAGTGAACCCCCTTATCTACAGCCTGAGGAACCAAGAGCTCAAGGATGCCCTAAGGAAACAAATGATGGGATTGTTTCTGAGGAAATAGTGTAATTTTTTTCTGCTAGTTATTCATAGTGTAAAGCCTTCAGGTCACAGGATTTTTTTTGTGGCATTTCACCTATTTTTTTTCTAGTCTTGTTTTTTAACTTGGATTTTTTTTCTGCTTTTAATTGTGAGAGAAATGTCATCAGTCCCAGCATTTCTACATCTCTATATATAAGGTTTGTGTTACACAGGGACTTTTGTGATCCACAATCTCTGCATTTATATATAATGAAGGCATCTTCAGTGACTTCTTTGAGGTCCTTACTGTGAGCCTTTCTGTGGAACTGCAGGGGCAGTGAAGTCTTCTACCAAAGCTGATCTCAAGAATATGTGCAGGGAGATGCCCCACAAATGACAGCCCAAGTGAACAGTTATCAGTGTGAGTGAGCAGGATGGAGACACTCAGCAGTGTCCTCACATGGCCAGGCCTCCAACGAGAGATAAGATACACCAGCAGAACAGGTACTGCTCTGGGCCTCTCTCTTCTGGACACACCAAGGAAGCTGCTCTAGGGCAGTTGTACCCCACACCTAACCCAGATCAGCCACTGATTCCTGCACTGTCCTGTCCTCTGACCTTGCAGAGGTGGTTTGTGCCTCCACTCAAACACATTTCTATTTCAAAGTGAGACAAAGGCTTGCACAACATGTCCGTGTGGTGACATTGACCCCAGTCAGCAGAAACACCATCACCTGTTCCTGGGGGGTGCCACAAAGGGCACAGATAGTGTGTTGAGGTCACTTCATGCTGGGAGTCATGTCCCCTGAGAAACCCCCTGACTGCAGCACTGG